AGTGAAGTAAATCTGTCTGGATAACAGCAGACTGACTGCTCATAAAATATACGACAGGTCTGGACCACTCGTGGATTTTTTTCATATCTGAAGAAAATCTTAGAATACGAAAAAATTGGTGAATGCCACAAATTCTCCTAAATCACTCGTACGCACAACTTAAGAATAAATATGTGCGTGCGAATGGTTCTTGCATGAGGCCCAATGTTTTCAGTCAACTTTATTTATGTGTCCATGGATGGCTGTTTTTGCTCCTTCCTTTCTAGAAAGCAAGAGAGACAGGTAATTGTCATATGACTGCCACTAACATGCATCTTTGGTGACCCCATTACAGGTTAGTTACCCAAAGAGTGTCAATGTTTTATAGCAATAAAAGCCTCTTGGTGTATTTCAAAGGAAATAATCTGTTTGTGCAAATGTTAGATTGCATTTTGTGGTCACTCTGTGTTTGCCCATGTCTCTTGTCTGTCCCTCTAAACCCAGCCAGTAGAGACAGATAGCACYCTGATTCTGCTTGAGGTTTCTTCCTGTTAAAAGGAAGTTTTTCCTCCCCACTGTCACCAATGTGCTGCTCAATATGGAAGACTGTGATGAAGTGTTCTGCTGGCTTCCTTAGATTAGTAGTTTTGTGTACAGTGCCCTGGGACAACATTTGTTTTGACTTATATAACTGAACTGATATGAATAGTCTGAATGACACAAACATACACTCAAAAATTACATATAATCACACATTTCAGTATAAATTGTTGCCTTATTGTTATTCTATTTTTTAAAACTTAAAGTATTAAAAATGGGGAAGATCTATATCAGATATTGAGAGGTGATTTTAGAGAATTCTTCCATTGTTTGTTACTGTTTTTATGGTAAAATGCTGTATCCATTGATGTTATTAAATGTTCTGTTATTTAATATTTTTATTCAAAATGCACCTCTGAAACATTGTTTAATTTTATTGCAAGCTGTATTAGTTTTCCAGTTAAGCAAACTTAAATTATATGAAGTTGGGCAACAGTTTGTTGCTGCAGCTCACAAACATGTGGGCTTTGGCATGAGTAATCCCATCACCTAATACAGTATGCAGATCTCCTTGTCTAAGCAAAATAAGCTCACACATCCCCAGGGCTCTCTGGATGTGCTAATAGCTGCATTTACAAATGTACACTTGTGATCAAAACACCAAAGGCTCATGTTAATGACACATGTAAAATGTAGCTACACTTCTTACCACTGCTTATGGTAAAATCTGTAGGTGGAAGAAGCTGATATGGTAATTAGAGATGAATAATGTAAAATCCCTGCAGGAGATCAGCATAAGACGCTCCTTTCTGATAAATTGTAGGTGCATGTGCTCATGGAAGTWAACACTTTTTAAAGTAAAAAATGAAACTTTGCTGAAGTATTAGTGGAATGTAGAAATTGGATTCAAAATGAATCGGTCTGGACAGGTGAACCTAACAAAACTGTTTAAAGTTCACTGAGTGTGAGCCAAAAGTGAAAAAACGACACTAATTTATCAAATCTAAATCCATCTTTAGTTTATGCAGTACCAGGCAAATAAATAAATAAAAATAAAAGTAAAAAAAATACAGTGAATGTAAGGCTGAATTTTATCAACTGATATCCTGTGAGTCTTCACTGCTGACAGATCCAGTTCTGGGGTCTCATTTATAAAGGATTGCRTGGAAACCATACTAAAAGTGAACATACGGCCAAAAGGCGGAAATGGCGTACACCAAAAAAAATCAGTTTTATAAAACAGTGCGTACGCACATTTCTGCACATCTTTCCTTTATAAATCACAGCCGCACATCAGAGTTGTGCACGAGGTCCCGCCTCAGGTTCTACCCTCTACACGCCCACACTCAACCATAAACAGTCAATGTAAAGTACCTCATGAAGGTTAAGATGTATTTAAATCAGTCAGCTGATCAATGTCAACAAAAGTGATTGGTTCAGACACGCTCCGTCGTGCGTCTGGAGTTTAACAGGTGCTGACTGACAGCTGCTCACGTGAACAGAATGTCTGTAATTGACACGGATTTTCCCTCGTTTTGCTTTAGAGTAATCTAACGATTTTTATTTAAAAAAATATCAGCTTCAAATTAATTTTCCATCAGAGCCT